ACTAAAGGATGAGGAAGGGTAGGGGGAGAGAAATGCTTCCATCATCCTTACGAAGAGGGATGTAGTTTCCTTGAGCTGGGGAGGGATGCACCCAGCAGGCTACCCAGAGCAGTTTCCCTTTCCGACAACGCACAGACACTACAAAGGAGCCAGAGGGAGGAGCAGAGGGACCAGAAGAAAAAGGACCTCGCTCCTTTAAATCGGGGTGCACATCAACTCAGTCTTCCTAGGAGGGCCACATCTTCCTCCAGACATCCCCTTCCACCACCCCTTCCGGTGACCCTCAGGAAAGAGGAACATAATTGCTCTTGCCCCTCAAAATGGGAGGACACCCAACTCAACAGCTTCTTCACCCCACCCACAGAATCACAGACCCTCCTTGTCTACCTCCCACCCCCACATCCCTCCCGCGCAGAGGCCAGAGCGGGCCGAATTTCCCTACCCCCTCCGTGTCTCCCTTTCCGAAAGCAGAGGTGCCCTTACCCTTCCCCCAACAGGTCCGGGTAGGAGCGCTACCCGGGAGCGCTTGGATAGCCGCTACGCTTGGAGAGTAAGGAGGAGGGGGCCAGGCGACACACCACCGCCCCGCCCCCAAGCCCCAGCAAGCCGTCCAGCCCAAGCTCTGCGACAAGGGGCAAAAGGGGGGGGTGGGCGACGAGGGGACGACCGGGGTCGAGGAGGCGCCCTCAGCGCTTGGGCTCAGCTAAGATGGCACGTGTAAGTGCCGGGAGCCGCCGCCGCCGCCGCAACCCCTTGGCGTCCACGAACAGCCCTCCGCCACCACCACCACCCCTGGGAAGGGGGCGCTCACAAAGGGAAGAGAGGCCGCGGCGGGGCGGGGTTCCCAGGGGCCGGGAGGCCTCAGAGGTTCGCTGATGCCTCGTGCCCTCGGCCCGCGAAGGGCGCAGGCAAGCGGGACCCCTCCTCTCTCCTTAGACAGGCGGCGGCAGCGACTCACTCTCTTTGCCACCTTCCCTCTCTCTCTCTCTCCGAGACCTGAAGCACAGAGGCCAGCCGCTGCCCAGATTCCCCCCGCGCCGACAGTCAAACCAGTCTCCGATATCGCGAGATTTCCCGCCTGATATATCCGACCCTGCGCGAGCGAATGCGTACGCGTGCGCGCCCTCACGGGAGCGCGCTAGTACTTGCACTGGGCGGAGAGTCCAATCCTCTGTCCAGCTCGGCCTCACGCAGCTGGCGAAGCTCTTCTGCCACGCGGGCATCAGGTGCAGTCATTTCACCTTGAAATCCGAGAAAGAAGAGAAATCTGCACTCCTTCCCCTTCCCTTTTCCCACTCCTAAAACATCCGCGCCACCCCCTGCGCCCCCGCGATTAACCCTGCGAACGAGAAGTTTGCTGACACACCTAGTTCAACCACTTCTTGGAATTCGGAGATAAACTGGTCAGTGTAATCAGTATGTAATGGAGTTTTAAGGTGCTAAAAGTTTATACCAATTTTGGGGACAGTAATGAGAGTTGGATATACAGATCTAAACCGGTCTATTAGTGATGGTAGAAGAGATAAATTCTTGAAAAGTTTTTCAGGATTTTTTTAGGTTGAGTAACAAGAAGTTTTTGAAACGAGCAATAAACTAAAGAGTCCTAAGGGTCCTAATGCAGGAAGCGGTAGAGCTTCTTGATTTTTTGTGTGTGGTGAAAAGTTCTATTTAGAGGAAAACCCCTTCAGCAGATTACAAAGAACAAAAACCATACGGTGCGCTTTATGTGCAGTAATAAAAAGTTTTGCTTCTTCAACCAATAAAACAACTGCAATAAATCTGTTGTGTGAGATTTCTGAGTAAAAATGTATTCCAGAACAGTTATTGGAAGTTAGGTAAACTAAGAAAATACACAGACTGTGATGAGGAAAACAAGCCATCTGCTTCAGTGGTACATACTTATAATTTGTTCTAAATATTCCCTCCTATAGTAAATGTCCTTATTCGGTGTGTCAGTTGTGCCTCTTTTCACCTATACTGTCAACCACTCTCAAATAGCAACTTCCCCTCAGCATAAAAACATGCCCTGGTTTCTCCTTGTGAAAGAAAGATTACAATGTTCCCCTTTATAGACAACTTTGGAAAGGTGTCTGTCAACCTACCTCCACTGAAACTGATCATGCCAAGGTCAAGAGTGACTTCCTAGTGGCTATGTCTAGGAGTCATTTTAATCCTTTCCTTCTTGACACCTGCAATATTTGACCTAATCAATACTCTTTCCATCTTGAAACTGTTCCTCCTTGGCTTTTTCAACACCGCTCAAAAACCGTTTTTTATCTTCCTGTCCCTGTGGCCCCTTTTCCAGTATCCACCTCTTAAATGATGCCTGTCCAATCCTGATCCCTTCTTCTGAAAATGTAACACCATGTTCCCTTAGTAACATTTTGGAATGGAAAGAAATTCAGGTTTTCACATTGTATTTGTTATTAATTTTTTATGGAAATTTTCAAATACTCTCAAAATAGACTAATAAACCTCCATGAGTCCATCACCCAGTTTCAGCTATTATCAGTACTTTATCATTTTACTTCACCAATTCTCCCATAACCTTTCTCAACCCCCTGATGTATTTTTACATAAATTTTTAGTAAGCTATCTTAACATTCACCTATAGGTATTTCAGTATGTATCTCTAACAAATACTTTTAACATATCCACAATATAATTATTACACCTTTACAATAAGTCCTTAATATCCTTTAATACCCAATTCATATTCAGTTTTTCTCAACAGATTTCAAAAATGTCTTTCTATAGTCCATTTATCTGAATAAGGATCTGAACAAGTTGTGTGCTTTGTATTTGATTGATAAATATGTCTCTTAAGTATCTTTTCATGTATAACATTTCCGCTTCATTTTTTCTTTTTTGTGTGCAGTTTATTGGTTGGAGAAATCAGATTATATATTCTGTAGAATTTCCACATTCTGGACTCAGCCAGTTGCATCATCACAATGTCATTTCACATTTCCTTCAATGCCCGTATTTCTTTTAAACTTAGTTAAATCTAAAGGTTTGATGTTGTGTAGGTGGTATTTTATAATATTTTGTATCTGCCACTACCTTGTTCTCACTTAATTCCACTTCTACTATAAATTGTAGCACCCACCCCCACTATGTTTTCCCAGCACATAGGGCATTTTAAGAGACCCTGGCTGTCATTTTTATTCTTCTTCCAGGTCTTTGCCCATGATCTGATGCTAATAGATCTCCCTCCTCAACTTCTTAAAATCTCACACACTCAGCATACGCACATACATACACATGGGTTTATTAAATGTGAAATTTGTTCAGCAGTAAAGTATCATTAGTAAAGATACTGAAGACATATCAGTTATTTTTTAAATTTTATCCAAAATAAGAAAATTGCACTCCTCAATAGCAGGAAAATAGTATGTCAATGCTTAGAATAGGTGCAGACATTGCATGGGATTTAACTCCCAAACATTTCTCTGATTTGTCCCATTCTTCATCCCCACTGCCTCTGCTATGGTGGTTCATACCTCAGTTTCCCACCTGGGGTACTGTAATTGCCTTCAAACTACTTTCCCTGCCTCCCAGCTTGCTCCATTCTTTATACTGAGGTGAATGGTTTTAATCTTCCTGAAATGCAATTTCTAAAAGCTGAATCTGTCATTTCTTTACTTAAAACTCTTCTATGGCTCTCCAAAGCCCTCCAAGTAAAATCCAGACAAAAACCTTTACTACCTTTCTAGCCTTATCTAGGACGTTCCCACCATCCTGAACTATTTAGTCTTCTGCTAACTGACAATATGCTGTCTTCAGGATGTAGCACTACATTCTTCTGCCTGAAATGCCTTCTCTAGTTGACTAATGTTCTTCAAGATTTAACTCAAGTGTCACCTTCTAAGATATCTTCTTGTATCTCAGATTTCCCTTGAGCCTATAAATTGTAGTCACAAAACTCTGGGAAGAAGAATGGGTACCAACTGTCTTTGATCTTGATAGAAAAGTTATCTAAGCAGTGACAAAACCAAGAAAAAACTCCTTCCATAATTGTCTATTTAATCCTCACAACAAACTTGGGAGGTAGATACTATTATTATGACCTCCATTTTATAGGTAAGGAAACCAGGGTTGAGAGTGCTTACGTTACTTGCCCAAGATCACACTAATAAAAAATGAGCTAGAATTTGAACCTCATTGTAATGAATCAAAAACACACACTTTCCATCATATTGTACTCCCGGCACCACCAACTGAGGACAGCTTGGTGCCATGTACATATTTCTATTGTATGTAAGAGATGCCTGACTGTGTGTAATATTAGTGTATTTGTTACCATACATGTATCTGTATGTGAAAAACTAATGTGTAAATAGGTGCACTGACTGATACAGTGTTTACTCAGTGAAACCATATTTTGTCACTCAGTGTAAGACCAAGTCATATTCAACTTGATTTAACAACTACTTGTTGGATTTCTACTGTATTAGACTTAAGTAAAATACAGAAGGGACAAAAGAAACTAACATTTACAGTTACTCTGTTCCTAGAACCGTATGAAGCAAGTGCTTTACATTCATTATCCCCTTGATCTTTCCAACAACCCTGAAAGAAGATGATGACAATTCCCATTACAGAGGAGGAAAGCTCTAAAACGTTAACTGCGCAACATCTCTCAGCTGGTAAGTGGAGAGTTAAGAGTAGAGTACAGGTTCAATCTGAATTTTAAGTACCCCCCCCCCTTTTTAATGCTAGGAACTCTAAATCCTATTCGAGAGATAAACTCTGCATGCACAAAACATTTCAGTAGCAATGCAAAACAACCTATGAGCAAATAATGATGTACTGAACCAGGCTTTAATTTTTACTTATCTGGGCCTCAGTTTCCTATCTAACTACAATAGGCTAAAATGATCTCCAGAGTCCTTTTAGTTAAAAAATTTATAGTTACAGGAATGATGCAAATAATATGTATAGATAATTTGAATTCGAAAGCACATGTGTGTATGTGCACATATGTGCATATTGAGAAACAGGAAGAGAAAACTCCCCTTTTACATTCTACCAGAATCCTACTAAAATCTGGTGGGGAGCTTCCTTGGTGGCGATATGTCCATCCAGCATTAAGTAGTGTAGACATTTTTTTTCTGGCATCACATTTCCATCTTTATTTTCAAAATTCAAAATTGATTTTTAAAAGAAGCCATTATTTTCTCACAGAATCTGAAAGGCTTTGCATGTATGTGTGAGAAAGAATGAATTGGCTGTTTCTTTTGGAATCTTGGAGGTATTTTTTTTATTATTAAAGTATCGTTGATATACAATCATGTTGGTTTCAAATATACAACATAATGGTTCAACAGATACCCATATTATTAATTCCTCACTCCCTCTAGTGTGCTTACAATCTGTCAATATAGTAAGATGTTACAGAATCATTGCCTATATTCTCCATGCTAGTGTATAAGTGTTTCCATAAAATTATGATTACTTAAGGAATCTGTTTCCTCATAGTAGGAGGCAAAAACCAATAAAACCAAGTGTGTGAGATGGTCGTTGGTGAGAGGGATGTGTCTTAGAATTTTCAGTTTAGAAACGGGTGAAGCACTTCAAGGAACCAATAGTCATGAAATAAATAAATAAATACATTACTGGAAGCCCATTCAGTGCATCCATAGGTTTTATCTTTAGGTCCCAGAACCAACCAAGGTGGGTTTGAGTCTGGTTGTCATACGTCACTCAGACATATCTACAAAAGGCTGCCTAATATAAGCATGGTATCATAGGCTGGAAAACAAAGCTCATCATGTATAGAGTTGTTTCTTGAGCTCTGTATTCTCATATAATTGGGTTCATTCTGTAAACACTTATAAAATGACAACCCTTTACAAATACCCCATATGTGGAGGCAGCAGGTTCTTTCATTTTAACCACAGGAATAGATAAATGCTGGCCCAAGCTACCCTAAGGGTGGTGGAATACAAACAACTGAGTTCAAGAAAATCCTGACCTAGAAACCTGTCACTCTCAGGTTTCTATCAGATAAGCATCTGCAGCAAGCCATGAATAAGTGAAATCAGCTGCGCTAGAATCTAAAAGAAATCCAGCCCTGAAGATATCAAGCAATGGATGTGAAATTAGTACAGCAGTAGTTAAAAACGTTGGCTATGGAGTCCCACCTCCATCACTTATTAGTGTCATTGACAGACTTACCTGTAAAATTGGGTTAACATTACCCTCCTTAGAGGGCTGTGTGAGAATTAAATAACATGTAAAGAGCCCTGCCCATAGAAAATGCCTTAACGTATTTGCTCTTACTGTGTACGGGTAAGGAAGTAGGTATTCATTCCACTTTTCTGCTGCTACCCTCTGGCAGATAACCCATGATCAGTGCATCATAATTGTCTAGATCATCTGTGAACGTGGGGAAGGGTTGGGCAGCATGTTTGTGTACTGAGAGGTTTTTGGAATGTGTTTTCAGGACTGATTGGTGATCTTGTCATGCCTTCCTTTTGGCTGACATCTGCCAGGATTAAGAAAGAAAAGACACAGATTCCTAACAGAGTTGTGCCACATAGAATATGAAACAAACAACTGGCAATCAAAACAAAAAATATGTTGATATTTTATTGTCCTGGGATTGTCTTTGGGCTTCCTCTTTAGCCTTCTCTTTATTAGGTAGTAATACTATACCAGTAAGAAGACTTTTGGCTGAAAATGACATTGCAAATTAGCTTAAGGGGAAAAAAAATGTATTCCATCCTGTAAGCCAATGCCCCATGAATTCAAAGAGTTTTGTTAGGTGTTTTCTCTTTCTGTCTCCCCTTTTTGTGTCTCTCCACACACCATACCCAGCCCCCACCTGCTTGGCTATTTTTCTCTATACATTGGGTTATGTTATAAGGTTGTCTGTGTTTGTACTGGGGAGAGTACAGTTGGGGGATTCAGATGCTGCCACCTAGTTTAATATACCCCAAAAATGAATGCTGCCATTAATACTACAAATAGGCTACAAATAGGCTACAAATGTCTACAAATAGGCAATGAATCAAGGAGATTTCTAATACTGGCTTATAATCAAATCTTCTTTTACTGATATGTTATATTATGATAACTAGTGACAGGAGCCCCTGTTCCAAGGTTCAGGTTTATACAACCACTTAAGATTGCCTGCTATGTGACCTTTCCTACATAACTTGCTCTCTTCTACTTGCTGCCCCAAACCCCTGAGCAGGGGACAGAGGTCTAGTCTAGTTATCAAATGGCCTCATATAAATCGTGATCATGAGATTCATCCTTTATCTTTCCTCTTCATGAACATTCTCAACACAGAAATGTAAAATATTGTAAATGGAGAAATTGAGGGCATTTTGGATTTTGTGAGCATGAGCAGATCAGAATTTGGGATTTATGGAACTATTTCCATGAGAAATTTAAGCAAGCTTCACATTCATGCCCAGATGAGTTTCCATCTTCATGGTATATTTCATGCAGCAGAGAGGAGATGGTCTGGGGTGCAGAGCAGAGTGAAATGGGAGGAATGGTCACAGAAGTCCAGATTTATATTATCCCAGTTTAGTGACCCTGAAGGCAAAGGAAACCTTCTCATTCTCACATAACAATATGTAAAATCCAGAGGAACAGCTGAGTGACCCAGCTTGGGCCCTGTGTAATATGCCCTTCTGCAGGCTAGTAGCTTCACCAGGGGGTAAATATTTTGATTGCCCTAGCTGGGATTTTGTGTCTACCCTGTGGCAAGAGGCTCAGAGTAACAGCTCCACAAGAACTACATAGATTAATGGAGAAAAAATTCTGCTAAGGAATGTAGAGCACTTTTTGCCAGAAGAAGAAGGAGATATTCTGGACAGACAAAAACAACAGATGTTCACTATGAGTAGAATAGAACTGACAAGTGATATGCTTTTATGGAGATGCTAGCTAGAGTAGAATATGTTAGTACTTGCTGTGATCAGATAAAAGAAAGCAACTGTCACCTGGATAAAATAGACCTTTCATTTCTATGACCCATTTTGATCTTCACCATAACTCTGAGATATAGGTAGGACATACTCATTTTGCAGAATATACTTTTGAGACTCAAGCTCAAGCAACACAGAGAAGCACAGCCAAAAACATAGAGTTCATATGACTCTATGGGTCAGGTATAAATATACCATGTACATTGATTTGGGAGGCAGGTTCCTTCCAGACATTCTTGGAACCTTAGACAATCCTGAAACTATCTGGCATGTGCAGGAACCAGAAAATGCCCATCAGCCAGGGACATAGTGTCAAGTTGACAGCAACTTCCTTAGAACTCCAGCATATGTGTGTATCTTTTCCTCGGGTTCTCTATCACACTACCTTTGTAGTTGCTATTCTTCCATGCACTCCAGGAAAACAGCTCTTGTTCACTCATTCGTATTTCCTTCTCCCTCACCTAACCCAATTTCTGACACACAGATGACCCATAATAAATGTTTATGTAATCAGGAGTTAAAACATACATGTTTATGTAATAAGGAATAGAAAACAGTTATTGACTGTCAGTTATATGGATTATGCTAGACTCTGTGGATTTAGAGATGGATAAAATACCATCTTCCTATTCTTGAGATCACAGCCTAATGGGAAGACCAACAAATAAACAGTTTTAAGTCATTCAGGACTCTCAGATTCAAGTGGCAGACACCAGACCCAAAGTCTTTAAGAAAAATGGGAATATTTGGCTCACACAAGCTAAGAAGTGCAGAGTTAGAGCTGGATTTGGGAAGAACTAGTTCCAGGGCTTAAATGCTCTGGTTTCATCTCTAGGACTTCCATCATGTTACCTTTGGTCTGAGGCTTCACAGCAAGAGGCATCAGCACTTCCGGTCTTATATCTTCTCAAGGCAGTAAGTGCAGTGGTTTAGGGTGAAAGCTTGTTGACACCTGGCCTCACCACATACTGGCTATGACACCTTTAACAAGTTAATCAAAACACTCTATGCCTCAGTTCCACCATTTGTAAAAATCGAATAATAGTCATACCTACTCAATATAGTATTGCGAGGAGTGAAGAAAGTCAACTCAGTGTTCAGAACTTTCTTTGGCGTAGAATAAGCTCTCAGTGAGTGTTAACTATTTCATTATTATTGTTATCATTATTGTGATCTTCAAATTCAGGAAAAAATAAGAGAATTTCTCTCCCCAAATTGACAGCGAAAATCTTATTGCCTCTCACTGGCTCTAACTGGATCATGTGCCCGTCCCGCCTGAAGCAGACCTGGGGGAATGCCATACACTGGCTGAGGCCTGATAAATACCTTCCATTTCAGGAGTGCAGAGGAGAGTCAACCTCACAAGAACCACGTAGACTCCGATAGGCTAGTTCCCAGCAATGGAGATACAACTATCAGAAAGAGAGGCAATGGGTGCTAGGCAGCAAAAACACACAAGCAGTGCAGCAGCACAATTTGATGGTACAGTTTGGCCACTGCTATGACAAGGCAGGCATGAGAGCCCATCTGAGGAGCCTCTGACTCATACAGGTGGTGATTTCTTTAATCAACTACCTAGGTACCCTAATCCAAATGGAGTTGTGGTAACATATACATAACAAATTTGCTGTTTTAATCATATTAAGTGCACAGATTGGTGGCATGAAGTACATTCATATTTGTTGTACAACCATCACCACTGTCCATCTCTAGACATTTTTTCATCTTTCCAAACTGAAATTCTGCACCTATTAAACAATGCCACCCCATTCCCTCCCTGCCCCTGTGCCAGTACCTGGTCATCTCTTTTCTGTTTTCAGTCTCTATGAATTTGACGTCTAGTTACCTCATACAATGTTTGCCTTCTTGTGACTGGTTTATTTCCCATACATAATGTCTTCAGATTTCATCTGTGTTATAGCTTGTGTCTGAATTTCTTTCCTTTTTGAAGGTTGAGTAATATTCTATTTTATATGTATACCACTTTTGTTTATCCATTTGTCAGTGGACATTTGTTTTCACCATTTGTCTATTGTGAATAATGTTGTTATGGATGTACATATACAAACACCTGCTGGAAATCTGCTTTCAAATTATTGGCTGTGCAAGGGGTGAACTTTTTAAGAACAAACAAAAAAAGCAACTTTATTATCTTTCTTTTTTCTTTTTGAAAGGCTATGTGAAATCTCCATATTCCCATACCTCTTATGGCTTTGATGACTCTCACACTATTGCCAAACCATAGGGTCAGGCCTTATTGCTGAGGACATTGATGAATACAGAGGTTTTCCCCATCACCACCACTGGACCTAATACTCTGTTTTGAAATTGGATAACTCACTGAGAAAGCTGGTTTTCCTGTCAGGTCAGACTCTTTGAATGATAGGATTTGCTTAAGATTGAGAAATTTTGGTTCCCTGGGAAGGAACATGCCAGCTGTGAAAAGCCCACAGTTGTAAATTGTCAGATGGTGACTGCCTATGAAACCTATCAAGATTCCTGACAGCTCAGCTGAGAACCTAATTACCAGTTACAAAGAGGACAGGAAAAACGTGTTGTCAGAGAGTGCCTGGTCACAGAGAATGAGGTACAGGGTCCTGGCCTCGTCATCAGCCTCCGTCTTGTTACAACTAGAGCAAAGCACATTAGTATAATTGACATTACACATGTTTATTATATGCAACAAAGGAACCATGTCAAACCACAGCCCAGAGTCAGCTCAGTCTTTGGTAATCACATAAATTGAACAGTGCCATTTGACCTGATTGTTCAAACATTTCCAGTATGCTCAATGCCAAGGGTGATATCAAATCATATTTAACTTTTCTCCTGGAATTTACACAAATTTCAACCAATCCTCCTCCTTTCCTGCAGTGAAGAGGAGCAGTCCTTTGTTCTGATGAAACCTAGGGAGGGAGAATAACTTACCTAAGGTCAATCAGCAGCCCAGCATATTATCTTCTGTGAATAATAAATCAGTATCAACCATGCTGCTGCAGCAACATAAGAAAACCAACATCTCCATCAGGAATCCCTAAATTGAGGAAAAGCAACACTAGCAAATTCACATGCTAATTTTTACAACGTCTTGGTTCTCTAGTCTTGCAAAACGCTTACACTTCCCACTTGCCTTTCTTTCTTCAACTGCATCAGCAGCACCTAAGCATGGAAGGTAACTTTCTCAATGGGAGCTCTTTTTTCAGATTCTTTAAAATCAGGGACCTGGTACTACAGCAGCAGGAAATGGGAAGAAAAGAGAGTTAACATTTACTGGGCACATTTATTATGTTCCAGATACTATGTTGTACCTCTAATTTAATCTATAAACCAACTGGCAAAGTTGATACTGTTATATATATCTTCAGATGCCATACCTGGAGCTCAGAGAGGTTTGGTAGATTGCCCCAGATCACACAGCTAGTAAATGGCAGAGCAGATTTTTAAAAATTTTTATGTATTTGTTCATTTTTTAGGATGGGTTTGGCCCATTTCTTTCTGGCTCCAAAGCCTAAGTTCCTTGTAATGCATTAAACTACCTCAGTAGAAGAGAAGAAACTAAAAGTCCTCCCAAGAGATAAAGAGGTAAAGAGACTCCTAAGAGATAAACCACTATGAACTTCTAGTGCATTTTATTTCTTTTTACATGCATGGATTAGAACTGTCTGGTTAAATAGAAAGCATTCAGCAAAATACCCCATCAGATTCAACACTACTACAGAGAATAGGGAACTGGGATGGAAAAATGGAAAGAAGGAGCAGAAAAGAAGTGGAGGAGGAGAAAGAAGACCGGGAAGGGACTAGCCCTGGGACACATAATGGGTAGCTGGAGGTTGTTGTCGGAGCCTTCTAACAAAACTCAAAGAACAGTGCAGAAATGGACTCTCCTTTTTTGCTCCATTCACCATTTATTTTCTCTTCTCCTATAACAGGATTAACAGGTTGGGCTCAGTGGGAAAGGAGGCCCCTGTTACCAGCCATCTGTGCTCCGTTCTTCACTTTTGAAACAAGACAGCTCCAAAACTGAACTGGAGAGGGAGTTGGAGCTGCATACAGATCAGCAGAGCTGTTGCTAACAGCCCTGACGCCTGCAGTATGACTCAACCCTCTGTGCCTGACAGAGTCAGCTGTGGTCCCCTGGAGCCTCCTACTCTGGGGGAAGCATCAGAGATGTAGGAAAATGCCAAAATCCTTGATCTTGGGCAGGAATTCAGGCCAGGAGGATAGGTAGGGGCACCTTGAGCCTTCATCTGAGAGTCTGCCTGAGGATGGGGGAAGGATTAATTGTGACAGCGAGGAAAACACAATCCTTTATACACATCAGCTGCTCTGCAAAATAAATATACTGCCCACAGGATGGGAGTAAGCAAAAGCCATATGGCTGTGTCACCAGGAATCTCACTCACTTCCTGGGTAAATTTTACTTAGGTACAGGCATCACCTGCTGTTCCCTCACTTTCTGAGGAGCCCAAATATTCTTCCCATCCTTACACAGCACCATTATACTTGAGAATATTCTTGTGCCAAACAGTTGCTACCTTCAGCCCTCACCCCAGCACCATTCACTCAGATCTCTGAGATGAAGGCAATTAGGAGTAAGCTACTCACATAGGGTGCCAGGAGGCATCTGGATTTGTCCTATACCACTACATAAACACCTGCTCCACACCCCACCCCAACTGTCCCAGGCTTCCTCAAAAAGCTTTCCTTTCAGCTGACTCCTTATCACTCACCAATAACAGTCCCCAAGTTTGGCTCCCTGTTGTCATGGCAACCCGAAGAAATAGTTGAAGTTACCAATAAAGGCATCTGCAAGAGCTCCCTAAACTCAGATTCCTTTAAAAACAATAGTACATTCAACCATTGTGGAAAGCACTATGGAGGTTCCTCAAAAAACTCAAAATAGAAATACCATTTGAACCAGGAATTCCACTCCTAGGAATTTACCCTAAGAATGCAGCAGCCCAGTTTGAAAAAGACATATGCACCCCTATGTTTATCACAGTACTATTCACAATAGCCAAGAAATGGAAGCAGCCTAAGTATCCATCAGTAGATGAATGGATAAAGAAGATGTGGTACATATACACAATGGCATATTATTCAGCCATAAGAAGAAAACAAATCCTACTATTTGCAACAACATGGATCAGCTAGAGGGTATTATGCTCATTGAAATAAGCCAGGTGGATAAAGACAAGTACCAAATGATTTCACTCATATGTGGAGTATAAGAACAAAGAAAAAACTGAAGGAGCAAAACAGCAGCAGAATCACAGAACCCAAGAATGGACTAACAGTTACCAAAGGGAAAGGAACTGGGGAGGATGGGTGGGAAGGATAAGATGGTGGGGGGAAGAAAGGGGGCATTATGATTAGCATGTATAATGTAAGGGGGTGCACAGGGAGGGCTGTACAACACAGAGAAGACAAGTAGTGATTCTACAACATCTTACTATGTTGATGGACAGTGACTGTAATGGGATATGTGGGGGGAACTTGGGGATGGGGAGAGTCTAGTAAACATAATGTTCCTCATGTAATTGTAGATTAATGATACCAAAAAAAACACAATAGTACAAAGTGGAAACTCTGCTTTATCCACCCTCCCCACCACTCTATCCATTCATACCCTTAGGCGTCCATTTTTGGAAAGACTCTTTTCTCTTGGAATAGCTGAGAAAGTGGCTCTTTTGCCCTTGAGGAAAGGCTTTCATATTCTAATACAATTCTTTCTTTAGACACTAGCCTAGAAATCCGATCAACCTATCAGGTATTAACACCTCTGAGGGTCCATGAAGTTTACAAAATATGTGCCCTTCTACTTCATTTTCTGTGCCTGCAGGAGGAGTCTGGGTATTTGGTATTTCAGGGCTAGAACTGCAGGCTGCTTTACCACAGAGGGTGAGGAGACACCTGATGTCTTCATATAATACGTGTGAAGGTACTTTGTACCCTGTATAAGAGTTTTCAAACAGTCATATTAACAACTATTCCCTGTCTGCAATCCCCTTTAGTTCAAGGCCATATTGCATACGCATTAAACTCATGGACTCTGGTACCAAAACAAACTTCCTGGTTTGAATCCAGGAACTCTTTACTTTGCAATTTTGGCAAGATTTTGTCTGTGCTTCACTTTCCCCATCTGTCAAATGAGGAAAATAATATTATCCACTTAGAGGGCTTTCATGAGGATCAAAAAAATTAAATATGTAAAGTACTTAGATCAGCATCTGGTTTTATATATCAAATATGCTTCTAGAGAGAATACGTTTCTGAGAAACAGACAAGATACCCTGTCCTTGAAGTGCACAGTCTGATATCCACATGGTACAGATAGACAAACCAATGATTATAGGTAATATGGCAGGTGCTTCTCTAATAGAGAAAGAGAACAGAGAAGAGCACCAGAAATTCAGCCCTGAAGGATGCTTGGGTTTTCCTAAAAGAGAGAAATGGTTTATCCATTAGGCACTGTGGGTTGCAAAGGACAACTCATCTCATGAAGTTCAACAATTTTATTTAAAAGATATAGATCATAGAAATCCAGGTAAACTAACAGCCCAGAAGAGCAGGAGACAGCATTTCAGCTATATTCATCCTGATGCTCAGTCATTAGCATGACTTAGCCATTCTCCTCCTGACAGGGCCTCTTTTACCACTACAGGCTGGTTCCTTATTCTTTGCTTTTTATTGATGTCCTCTACCTCATAGCTTCTATTTCCTGATAGATAATAGCTTGCCTTGACCCCTCATGACTCTGAGTTGTCTCATGGGTTTTCCTTATACATCATTTTAGCTCTTGTTCATGCCATTAATAGCTTCATTCTCCCCCTTTACTCACTCAAGTTTTAGAGAGTGAGAATCTGATGGATCTACTCTTTTTTTGGTGCCAGGTATGTTGTAAGATTGATCAGGTTCTGGATTGCATCAGATGCCAATTCTGGTCCAATCAGCTAAGGCAAATGTACCTCTGTGAACTGTATATGAACTTTGGCTATCGAGGGCTGCCTCCTCAACAGAGGTTGCAGGAGGGATTCCCTTGGAAAGGAAATACGGATGTAGCAGTCAAGATATTCTGTGTACAACATAAAGAAGAAACGACATATACAAAGAGCATGGAAAATAGAAATGCAGTAGGCCTAGAGTTGATTCAACACATTAACTGAGGCATTGCTAAGTACCAGTCACAATACCAGGAGTGGTAACAAATGCCATGATTAAGGTCATACAGCAGGCTATGGGAACCCACTGCAGGGCTACCTGAACCAGACATGGGATGTCAAGAAAATCTTAGAGGAAGTAAACTCTACATTGGGACCAGAAAGAGGAGTAGGAATAAAAAAGAGTGCAGCACGTTCCAGGATCTGAAAGTAGCTTACTGGGGCTGCCAGGACATGAGGGAACAGGAAGAGGCAGGTAGGGACAACATCACTCAGGTCCTGATAATTGTAGTTCCCATTTATTGGGCACAGAACCCAACCCTCCACTAAGCATTTTACATGTATTAGCCTATTTAATCCTCTCAACAACCCTATCAGGTAAGAATAATTATTGTTCAGATTTTTAAATGAGGAAACCAAGACTCAGTGAGATTTAGTAACAACCTTATGATCACTTAACTAGCAAGTGCCAAAACTGCTAAGTTTTACTTACTTTGTGGGGCACATTAAGATTTTATTTTAAGAGCAATGGGAAGTCATTGAAGGATTTTAAGCAAAATTGCATTTCAGAATGATCACTCTTGTTGCAGAATATAAAACAGATTACAGGGAGCAAAGGGGGACAGAGAGAGACCCCTTGGGCTCCTATTTACAGACCAGGTGAGAGATGGTGGTAAGGTGGACTAGGATGGTAACAATGATGTGGATGTATTCATTCATTTATTACTTTGATCAATAAATACTTAATGGGCTCCTACTAAGAGTGCTTGGCAGTGAGGATATATATAAAGGTAGACAAGGTAGATGAGGTTCTTCCCCTCAGAATTTATCTAAAAGATAGAATGGACAGGAATTAGTGGAGTTGAATGTGAGAGTGGGAAAAGGAGGAGACTGGGATAATTTACTTCAATGCCCCTGCCCTTCCCACCTCATTACTTCCCCTAGGGTTGTGTATGTTCAGTTGGGGAATAGGCGATAAACCAGTAAAGTTAGGAAGGAAGACCAAGGGACAATTCGGGAAGAGTTTTGTATGCCATTCTCATCAGCTCAGACTTCATTCTGGAGACTTGAGGGAACCACTGAAACTGTGTAAGCAGGAAAATGTCTTGAGCAAATATCCATGTTAGTAAGATCAAGATTTATCCCTTCTGAAACGTAGAATTCCTCCAGAGCCGTTAGTCACTTTGAGAGGGTGAGAAAACCCAGATCTTCTTTTCATATTGTGCCCTCTAGTGGTAAAGGGAAAATCAGTCCATTCCAACTCCACAGTTCTGTTCAAGAAGCAGCCAGCTTTTGATTTCCCCTGAATGTCACAGCTGCTGTGTCTCTCATCAAGTTCTGCTGCTTAGTCTTCAGCAGAGACCATTCATTCATTCCAGGAGTCCCCCAGCTCCAAAGGCACAGCTGTATATCTGACTATAGAAAGCCCTCTTCGGAGAACTCTCAGTAGCCTGATTCCCAACCTCCCACCTGATCTCCACACTCTCTTCCGTGTCTTTGCAAGACAGATCTCTCTGCTGGCAACCACAGGGAGGCACCAAAGACCAGCACTGCTGCCCTCAGGTGGGGACCTAATGAAGTGCGCATTGCATTTCTCCTGGACCAACTCCCTCTCAGAAAAGTCAGTTCTTTAAACTTGGCGTCTCATTGAGCATCCACTTCATTTACATTCGAGTTCTAAAACTCCCCCTTATACTCTCCAGCTCAAATCTAAGGAAGCAATGTGGAGGAGGAAAAAGCAGTTGCTCCTCCTTTCCACGAATTCAGCATTGTCATCACCATTACCAGCAACAGACTCAAAAACAACTTCTCAGAGGCTTGAAAATAGAGTAGTAGAAAGCAAGGACATCTGCTTTCCTTGAAAAGAGAGGGTCTCTTTCTCTCACACCTTTATCCTCGACCCTTTGCCTCAGGGGCCCTCTGATTCTAAGATGGAGCTCTGATAATGTCTATCATAAGAGAGTCTTACTAGTCTGTGAAGCTTGGAAATAAATAATGGAATTGCTTCTCAAAAATCTGGATTGATTTTAAAATGTTCTGGCAATGTTCCTCTGGCATCCTCGCCAATGTGCTTATGAACTTGGGCCACAGTCTCCTTCACTCATTGACTCAGCACTTAGTGGCAAAGTGACCCTTTAAGTCTCCTCAGCTAAGATAGCTCCTCTACCCGTTAAAAGGGTGATTTTGTGAATTAAATACCGAAGCTGCATAAATACTGATTTAGCACATGCACATCACCCACAGACAATTTATTCCAGAAGTTCTTTGACAGCCAGGTGCTTTAAGATTTCTGACCAACAGACTCCACCCCCATTCAAGCCCTCTATTCACCCAGGAATTTGCGATGGAAATAGTACTGCTGGCTAGAGTAGAGTGGCATTCCAGTGCTGCTGCAAGCTGAGTGGCCGTTGCCATGGGGGCGAGAGTGTTTGTATAGAACTGCCTGTACACGGTGGTAGGCTTTAGGGCTGCTTAGATTTAGAGGATTCTAGAATTGAGCCAGCCCCCTCATTTTACAGGTGAGGTTACTGAGGCCCAAAGACTTACTTAGATGACTTATTCAAGGTCCTAGGGCAAGTTAGAGACAGAGTTACGCTGTTTGTAATACCATTCCCCTTTTCATGAAAACACTCTTGCTGGTTGAGTGGGTGCTCCTCCAGCCATTTCCACTAATGCCATTGTGCTATTCCAGCGCTACCAGTTCCAGAGAAGTGCCAGGAAATGTGGGATTGTCAATAAAGGTATGTCAATACCTT